CTTTTCCTTTTGTTGTTAATTGTTAAACTAAAAGATAGAAATTCAATCAATGAATTAAATAATTTAGTGATCATTTTTTTTGTTAAAAATAAAAAATTTTAAATTTGTATCACATGATATATAAATAAAATAAAATAAAATAAAAAATAAATATATTTTATTATATAATATATATATACACATAAAGAAAGAAGAATAAGAAAGAAAGAAGAAAGAAAGAGTAAAGGTGCAAATAAGGATTTCAACTTTGCACTTTTTTTTATTTAAAAAATGTTAACTTTGTCAGTTTTTAAATAAGAATGTCAACTTTCAATTTTTTTTCTAAATAAGGATGTCAACTTTCAATTTTTTTCTAAATAAGGATGTTAACCTTGTCAGTTTCTAAATAAGGATGTCAACTTTTAACTTTTTCTATTTACGGATTAATTGAATAGTAATGCTGACATGGCTAACATATTTTTTTAGGTTAAATATTTGAATTGATCCCTCGACTTTTATTTTTGAACCAATTCATCCTTAAACTTCAGAAAGTACCAAAAACGTCCTTCAACTTCAATTTTTAATTTCATCTTTCCGTCAGTTAAATGTTGATGTAGCTAATTTTTTTGCTAAGTGATTTACTATTTTACATTTTTAATATTAGGTGGAAAATCCATCATGTAAAAGATGATTATGTGGATTTTTTAAATTTTAAATAATTTACAAACTACTTTAATTCTAAATTTTACTTTATTTATATTTAAAAATTAAAACAATTAATATATTTTCTCATTTAATTAGTCCCACCTACCGTTTAATAAAATTAAATGAAATTTATTTAATTCTTCCATGAATTAAGAAATAATTTTATTAATTGAAAATTGAAGTTGAATGACGTTTTTGGTACTTTATGAAGTTTAATGATGAATTGGTTCAAAAATAAAAGTTGAGAGACCAATTCAGGTATTTAACCTAAAAAATATGTTAGCCATGTCAATATCAATATTCAATTAGTTCTTAAATAGAAAAAGTTGAAAGTTGATATCCTTAAATAGAAAAAATTAAAAGTTAACATCCTTATTTAGAAACTGTCAAAATTAACATCTTTATTTAGAAAAATATTAAAAATTAACATATTTATTTAAAAATTAATAAAATTAACATCTTTAAATAAAAAAAAATACCAAATTAAAATATTATTTGCACCTTTACTCAAGAAAGAGGATAGAAATTCACACCGCGGGGGCGTAGTGGCTATGTATGCCACTGGCTTCACGTGGAACTGAAAGGTGGACTGCATTCAATTTCAGGTCCCACCAACCCTTTCCCCATTTCCTCCCTTCCATTCGCTGTAACAAATTGTCCTTGCTTTTAACTATAAAGATTTTTAATAATTTAAATAATTTAGTTAATAAGGTAAACTTTTAAATATTAAATTAAATTTTTATTTTTTAAATATCAAAATTAATATTTAATAATGTAAATTTTGTAATTTTAAATTAAATTAAATTAAATTAAATGATATGTTTAAAATTTAAATTTAAATTAAAAAAAATAAAAATTAATATGTACTATTTTCTAAAAAATATAAGAACTAATTTTATTTTTAAAACTAATAATATATATACCAATGTAAGTAAAAATATTTATAAAATTAAAATTAACTTTTATTTCAAAAACACAGGTGGAAACTACTCTTATTTATGAATGCTACCATAATAGAACAACTGTTTTCAAGGGTGATAGAAGTGGATGAAAAGAGAGAAAAATATCAGTCCAAATGTCCAATCACAATCAAAACACATAAATAATTTTAAAGAATCAAAATAAGAGAAAAAAATTGGGAAATCTTTCGTCCAGCCAAACGCGGCCTTAGTGTGTATTTAGTAAATACTTTTCCAAAAATAAAAAATAAAAATTCAGAGTTCAGAGTGTACCAAATGTACGAGCTGGCCGAGGGACACAAGCGTCATTATGATCATGACAGGGACAGCTGCAGCTCTACTTTCCTTTAAAATGCCTTTTAAATTATTTTAATTCCAAAATGGAATAAAGAGACTTCTATTATTTCTAAATTTCAATTACCCTTGTTTTTAATTATAAATTTTTTTAATTTGTGTTTTTAAATATATATTATCATATATTTATTATTTTTTAAACATTAATTCAAGTAAAAAATAAAAATAAATATTAATTTTATTATTAATATTATCTTACTTTATTTTTTTATTTAAATTAAAACTTTTAAAAATAAAATAAATATATTGTTAAAATGCATCTAAGACACAAGTAATTTACTTTTTTATATTAATTTTTAAATATTTAAAAATTATATTAAATTTTAATTACGGTAAAATTAAGTCACATTAATCTTCATAGAAAAAAAAAAACTTCCCTAATACTTAATTTTTTATTCAAAAATCCCAGATTTAAAATTTTATTTAATAACACCGAAATTCCTTCCACTAAATAATTAATAGTTGGTTGCTAGAAAATCTATTTAATTATATACAAAATTACATGTTCAGTCGTGGATGAATTCCTATGGTGGAAAATGCAAAGCTTGAAAAGGAAGTGACTTTTTCTCTGTCCTGAGTCGACTCCTCGACTTGTCGCTTTCTCTGCTTCTTTTAGCACCTCTTAAGCCCACACAAGAAACAGGGGGGGGGCGACAGGGAGAAGCCTCACGGCGGCGTACGGTGGCGTACGGTGGCAGACTGCCGGTCCCTATATCTTCTCCCCGGTTCAATTAGGATTCTCTCTCTCTTCCAAGGTCGCTTTGTTCTCACGGCAATTTCTGCTCCGATACTGGGGCAAAAAGATTGATTCTGAAACTTGTTCATTTCTTTTTCTGAGAAATTGGTATTTTCAATTTGGTAGAAGTCTGGCAGACCTTAAAGGAATCTTAGCGTTCCTTCGACCCTCTTTGTCTGTAATTCTAGCTGATCGATTTGATTTCAAGTTAAAGAAAACGAAGAGGTGGGGGATTTACAGGGTGAAAATGCTTTGGATTCTGCGGTTTTCTTGGTTTTTCTCTGCGGCTATGCTGATGATCGTCCTCTCGCCTTCCCTGCAATCCTTCCCTCCCGCAGAAGCCATTCGTTCCTCCCATTTAGACTGGTACCTCCGGTTACCGACGTCGCAGTTTTCCATTCCCGACCCATTTTCGTTTCGAAAAGCGGATGTATTCCGCAATGCGGATGAATGTGGCTTTTCCGACCCGAATATCACCGGGGTGTGCAATCCCTCTTTGGTTCACGTTGCCATCACTCTCGATGTTGAGTACCTTCGAGGCTCAATCGCCGCCGTTCACTCGATTCTCCAACACTCCAGGTGTCCGGAGAGTATTTTCTTCCACTTCCTCGTCTCGGAGAACAATCTGGCAACCCTAGTCCGGTCCACCTTCCCTGAATTGAAGTTCAAGGTGTACTATTTCGATCCGGCGAAGGTGCGGAATCTGATCTCCAGTTCAGTTAGGCAAGCGCTTGAACAGCCGTTAAATTATGCCCGGAATTATTTAGCTGATCTTCTGGAACCGTGTGTGCGCAGAGTAATTTACTTGGACTCTGATCTCGTCGTGGTTGACGATATCACTAAGCTCTGGAATACAAGTTTGGGTTCTAGAACAATCGGAGCCCCGGAATACTGCCATGCCAACTTCACCAAATATTTCACGGCGAGATTCTGGTCCAACTTCCGACTTTCCGGCACTTTCAGAGGGAGGAAGCCGTGCTATTTTAACACCGGAGTGATGGTGATTGATCTAGTAAAATGGAGGCGGTCCGGGTACACAAAACGGATCGAGAGGTGGATGGAGATCCAGAAGAGCGATCGGATCTACGAGCTCGGGTCGCTGCCGCCGTTCCTGCTAGTTTTTGCCGGACACGTGGCGCCGATCGAGCACAGGTGGAACCAGCACGGGTTGGGTGGGGATAATCTGGAAGGGCTGTGCAGAGATC